ATATTATATATATATATATATAATGTAGTTGTTGGATTAAACCATTGATTGCACTGTGACTCCTTAGTGCTACAAACTATTTTATTTTCAAGATGACTTTACTCTTCCACCTATTAAAGCCATGTTATTTTTTAAGTACATAACGTGTGTTAGGTACGGGTGAGCCTAATAGCTCTAGTAGCCAACTAAAGTCACACTGGAATTCTCAAATTGACAATAAAAGCAAAAATGTTACCAATGACCTCTTGGAAATTCCAGTGCTCCTGCTTCCTCTTGTGATTCCTAAGAGAAACCCTGTGGGCAGGGTTTGTTAGTGTTTGTTGGTGCTGCCATGTCTGCGGCCATCCAGAGGGAAGGGTGAGGAGGTGCCGCTGACCTCTGGTGATCACTGGTGTGATCTGAGCCTGGCCCCAGCACCACTGCAGCCCCTTGAAACCAGCTGAACTCTGCGTGTCACGTGCCTTGAATCAGAAATATGGAGGTACACAGAAGGTGGCAGCTCTTCCAGGGACCTGCTGTAGGTGCTGCTGTTCTGTTCAGATCCTGTAGCCTGCGAGAGGAGGTGAAGAATTTCCACAGCACTTGGGTTCAACTCAACAGCTGTGGTTGTGTTGAACTGTAGTATTGAGCAGCTTCAACAGTAAACAGTGTGGGATAATTACAACAAATCACTTGGGTTGAGGTACATCATTTTAAAAAGTGAAGTTCTGTTCCTTTGTTTGATATCTACAGTTATTACCACTTCAGTTAAGAGGGAATGCTTGTGTGCACTGAGTAGGGTTTCCTGAGCTGTACTGAACATGAGCACTCTCTTGATAGTGGATGGAGGTCTATTTCTGCCTGTGCTTCTGCTGCTCCCTGTGCTGACATTCAGAGCCTTCTTTGAACAGCTTTAACTCCCTGAGGGCTTCTGCCAATCACAGCCAAACAGAAGCTCATGGGCAGCTCCTCCCTGCTGCATGCAGTGGGTGGTGGTCATGCCCCTCAGCTAAGAGTTGCAGGCACCACTGTACTACCCACAATGGTGATGAGATCATATTCCAGAACTTAATTTCCATTCTCCTCTGGTGTTTGGCTTCCAGCATGGTGATAACCCAGTACTGATTTCAGTACCCTAATGGTTCTAGCAGCTAATAAGTTCAGGTCTTCCCTTCAGCACAAGCCACTTGCAGCAAGACCTTGATCTGACAAAGATTTGCTGCATGTTGAAGGCCTGTCATTAGTGACCATGGCACAGTGTGCCTGGCCAAGTACTACCCCAAGTGTTGCTTCAGGCCTGGTGGTACAGCAGCAGCCAGCTCTGAGAATTTAAAGAGAACCAGCAGTAATCTTGTCACCGACACCTGCATTATCCTGATTTATTTACTACTATAACCATGTTGGTCAGAAAAGTTTTGGGACATGCTGCTGTACTGTTAGGGACCTGTCTGAGGCACAGCTGAGCAGCTGCCGTGTTCCCCAGTCCCGGTTTCTATATGGCATGAGGACAAGGTACCAGTCACACCTTTAACAGAATTGAGGCTAAAAAGCCCCCAGACAACAGCCTTGAACCAGCACTAACATTCTGTTAACTGGTTAGTGCAGGCCTGACCTTACCTGCGGAACAACTGAGGCAACCACTGAACGAACACTGCTGCTGCTGATCACTGAAGAACTCCTTGTCCCAGTTTAATTGCTTTGTCTTAGAAAAGATGCTGTAAAAGTAATCAAAAATATTTCCCACAACAGACTTCAGTTAAACTTTCTTTTTAGCCTACTTTATTGTAATTGGAGCACTCTCTTTTGTTCCAGTTAACCGACTTTATGACTGGTTCTATCCCAGTTCCATTAGCACTGCAGTGAGCAGTGTTACTGGCAAGCAAAGCCTTCCAAGTCTCCCCACTTGTAAGTACCTAGTTCAGAACAACTAAGGAATGTTAACTTTTCTTTCTCCTTGCATTTACCTTTCCAACTTGATTCTAAGTTATCTATGAAAAAGAACTATAAGCACTACATTTTTGAAGTGAGCTTGTTGCTGTATTATTGTTGCTGAAGTGCAATCTGTTATCCCTTTCGGGGGTAATAATTAAGACAGAATTAAAATAACTCATTACCAAAGTGGTCCTGAATTTAAGATGGTGTAAGAGGCAATAACTTAATTCTGGCCTAATAGTTGAGGAAGTTTTGCATAGTCAGGAGTGTGTCAGTTGTGTTACTCTTGGCTGATGCTCAATGAGTGAGAAGAAATAACTCCTGCTGTGAAGTTTCAGAGATGGCCAGGTACAAATAACCACCCCTCAGACTCTGCTCCTACACAGACCGAGCCCTGGGGCCAGGCTGAACACCAGACCTGTGAAATACCGAAGGACTAGTTCAGCTCTGGTAGTCGTTGCCGAACCAAGTGAAACGTGCCGAGGCGTCTGGAAAAAGTTTCGGGGAAAGAAAGGACAAAGTCAAGCTTCTTTGGCTGGAATGCTGCCGTATATTTCAGGAACCCAGAATGGACAACCAACACACAGCGCCTTTGCTCCTGGACAGGAGAGCTCTTTTTAACAGCCAAGACTGTCTTACTGACAGTTTCATCGTGAACCTTCACCTGCAACGCCAGCGTGTGGTGCCTTAGCACTGTATCTCTTTGCAGTAGACAACCAAAAGTAATCCCTGAACAAACAGCTACTGAGGGTGACTCTGAACCGGTCTGGTTCTGAACTGAAGCCTCAGGAACAGTCCCGGAAGCGTTCCTTTCCGTTCCCATTTGTGTTAGCTCCTTGCTTGCAGGCAGCACTATGAAAAGAACCCAATGCCAAATTACACATGCAATCTGGAGTTAGGAGCATGCCCAGTCAGGACTTTCTGGCTTGTTTAAACTCAGATCACATTTTATCCTGTGATATTTTATCATCTTAACATGACCTCTGAATTGTCAGCAGTCAAGTTTTAGGAATCTTCCATTTTGTATTAAGCTCACATTTAGAAATGTGTAAGACTCTTGGCCTCATCTACCCTTCTGGCTTCTGTGCCAGCAGCAAGGCTGGGACAAAGACTCGGGAGCAGCCACAGCGCCTCAGGGTGAAAGTGGGTGCAGGTGTAAAAGCAAGGAACTGTCCGGGAGACCTTCCCACGGGAATGGGACCTTGGCCCCCGCACTGTGACCGGGACTACGTTCTACCTAATTCTAAAACATCTTTTCAAATTAAGATAGCAGACAACTCAAATTTTCCAAATCCAGTTCGGTAAGAAGTACTGGCTTACTTGAACGGGGGGTGCTTGCAAACCTGCAGCCTGCTGAGCTAGGGCGGAGGGCCGGGCGTTACTCGGCCGTGTAGTGGGGGGCGCAGTCCTTGGGGAACACGGCGACTGCGGCTCTGTCGTCCTCCAGGAAGTCGGCGTCCTCGGCCTGCGCCCCGGTGTAGGTGGGGGTGCTGTACTTCAGCAGCACAGTCTTGAACTGCGCCAGCGGCGCGTTCGTCCGGACTCCCATGGGATCGAAGTGGGTTCTGCTCACTCTGTACCCAGCTTCAGAGAGATAGCTTAAGAATTTATTTAACCTGGGAAAAAAAACAAAACAAACCCATTTCAAAAGGAGTTAATGCTTATAAGGCTGATTCCACGCAAGTTACAGGCTGGCGTTATGTAAGACTGGAACTTACTTCGGCATATTCATTCCTTTAATACTGTGCCTGTGGATATTGTAGTAGAACGCAGGGTGTTCAGAACTGTTCTCAGCTTTTAGCCGCTTGTTTGCATTCCGAACCCCTTCGTCGCTTTTCCTTTTTCCTGGACCACAAAGAAAATGCCAGCAAAACCAGTAAGCATTCAGTGAGACCACAAAAAATACCAGCAAAATACTCAGTCAGACCACAAAAAACACCAGTGAAGCCAAAGACAATACATTAAAGAGAAAAAAGCCATGTAGCAACTACACCTTCGTGTCTGTTTTTTTAAGGTAGGGTTTTGCGGAGTTAAAAGCGACTGCATTTAATTAATGTGCCCTTTTCAGTAATCAGAAGCAAAGCCAAAAAGGCCTCAGGGAATATTTAGCATTCTGCTTTTACTGGTGAATATGATAAAGGTAAAAGTAAAACATGAAGGTAAAGTAAAATCAGTATTTAGTGGAGAAATAAATAACAAGTACCAGTATTATTAATTTTAAAAAAACAGGGGAGCACTAGGTTGGCTTAGCTGTTGCTTAAAGTATAGTTTTATTTAAAACTGCTAGAGCTACACCAAAAATGATTGACTTACCGTGTATCAAGAGGGATTCTGGAGAAGTATTTGATGTTTTAATATATACGCCGCACTCTTCTAGAATACAAAATAAAATTAAAAATTAATTCTGGTGCCAGACAGTAAAATGTGACATGCCTGGGTTCAAGAGAAAGAAATGACACCAGGTCCTGGCAGTCCCTGTGCAGCATGACAGCTGGGACCCTCTGTTCCTAACAGCACATGCTCTCGGGCTGGGATCGGGACCAAAGGACCAGCAGACACTCAGTACCTCCATCCCCTTCAGGGTGGTCAACCAGCCTACATGTGTTGGGTTTTTGTGGTGGGCCTTTGGTAGCAGGGGAGGGGCCACAGGGGTGGCTTCTGTGAGAAGCTTCTAGAAGCTCCCCTGGCTCCAAGGTGAATCCACCCCTGGACAAAGCCAAGTCAGTCAGTGCCTCTGCAAAATAGTATTTTTGGAACACTTCTGTAAAGAAAGGCTGAGAGAGTTTGGGTTATTCAGCCCAGAGAAAAGGAGGCTCTGGGGGGACCTTACTGCAGCTTTTCACTACCTGAAGGGGCCTGTAAGAAAGACAGGAACAGTCTTTTTAGCAGGGCCTGTTGTGACAGGACAGGGGGTGATGGGTGATGGTTTTTAACTAAAAGAGGAGAGATTTAGACTAGATAGAACTTTTTTTGCACTGAGGGCAGAGAGACACTGGCCCAGGTTTCCCAGAGAGGTGGTAGATGCCCAGTCTCTGAAACATTCCACGTGAGGTTGGACAGAGCTCTGAGCAACCTACTCTCATTTCAACCCTGGAGCCTTTTGTTGTATTTTCTCCTCCCTATCCCACTGGGGAGGAGTGAGCAAACAGCTTCAGGGTGTTTAGTTACTGGCTGGGCCTACACCGTGACATTGCATTATGTTTATTTGGTTTAGGAGCTGCCATACATGCAAAAATACAGTGCTCTGCCTCTGACAAACCTTTCTCCTTTTGTAGCACCAAAGAACAGCTGACAAGACCCATACCACATTCAAAACAACACTTTCTTGACCTTTTTATGTATACACTGCTGTTAGCAGTAAGCTACCCAAGAGCAGCACCTCTCTAAATAACCACCAAGCCAGTTCTTTTTGTGAACGGTCTGCCATTTTGCTTACCTTGTTTGCTCTCCTCACAAGGAGTATGGGTAGAATTAGGTTTTGAAGTTGTGCACTCAGCTTCGCAAACAATTGTCTTCAAGAGGGACTGAGCTTCATCCAAACCATGCTGGACAGCTTCAAAATACATTCTCCTGAGGAATCCAGCGTTGAACAGGGCTCCAGACCTACAAAATACAAGACAAGTGAACAGTTAAAGACTTCCCAATGAAAGGAAGAAAGTTGCTCTAAAAAACTCTCGCCCAAAACGATCAGCAATTTTGTCACGCTGAAGTGCTGCACTAGGTTGACTGTGTTCTTAACCTGGCAACACAGAATTGCTTTGTTTCCAATGACAGTAACATTGGTCTGGTGTCAAAAATCAAGATCTCAACAGTGGTCATTTTATTTTCACCACTGACTTGCCTTATGTTGAAAGTCATTTAACCCCCAAGGTCAGGTCAATTCTCAACCATTCTTAATACTATGAAATGGTTAAAAGACTTAACAAAAGGATTTATTGTATGTCACAAGATAAAATTCTAAGTATTAATTATCAAGCAGTGTATTATTTACTACTGTCAGCACATGTAAGGATTTACTGAATAAATGCTCCACAAATATCAAGTAATAAACTGCTGCTTAAAATTGGGCCACTAAAGGAACACACAGTCAGGTTATCCCATGCAGGATGCATGAAATAAGTTGCACTGAATGTGAAATCTAAAGCAACTTTCTTAGTATTTATTAACTGGTTTGAACTCCATGGACAAAAGCAAAACCAAATACTCTGCTAAATTCAAATCAATTAAATGTTCCCTGGATTCCTCCCAATTGCTATACCACCTTTTGCAGTGCCAAAACCCCTGGCAGACTGGCATTTTTATTCTGTGACTGAATAGCTGACCTCCAGAGGGCCTTCCAACCTGAATTATTCTCCAATTCTGTATAGTGTTCCGAACTCACCAGAGAGGACCAAGAACTACTGCTGTCTTCCCAGGCATGCTGCCGTGACAGTCGCAAGGCAGCTGCTGATAAGGGTTTTCTACAACAGAAGAAGAGGATTTTGGTCGTTTTGACATAATTAGCAATGCCTACTTTACTGGTGAGAGAGGACATAGAATGAAGTAGTAGCCTGCTTCAGTTGGAGGTATGTGGAAGGGCAAGCAATAGCAGAAACGTGACACTTCTGCCAAGCAGGACTTAAGAGAATTTACAGATTGATGACTTGGATCTTTAATAATTTTTAAAACACTGAAAGGAACAAAAAAAAAAAAAAGCCATGTAACTTCCTATGTTTCTTGGCAGATTTCAAGTACCAAGGAGATTATTAGGCTTCCTACACTTACATAAGTAGACATTCAGATTAACAGTAAATATCAACAAAAATTTCAGATATCAGTCAATTATATCTACAAAACAGAGCACACCTACACGTTTCCTAAGTCAGCTTGCTTGTAATTAAGGCCTTAAGTAAACAATTGATTTTCTAATTAAGATCTCTGCCATAACTGCACTTAGCAGTTACTCATCCCTGTTCTTAAGACTTTATATATAATTTAAAAAATCTTTTTCATAACAAGCTCACTGAATACTCATGCACCTGACTCAGCAGGACAGTTGAAGACACCACCAGTTAGTAGTTAGACAGCCAAGAACCTGTAACTTTGAAACAAGGTTTTTCCTTTTATATTCATTGAAACTACCCTGTGGCTCACAGCTACCTCCTAGTTTCAGTTTTGTCTCCTACCTCTGCTAACTTGTGTGTAGAGACAGCCCACGAACAGCTGGTTTATAACCTAGAGGCTGTCTTCATTTACCAACAAGTGTTAAAAGACAGATCCATGGACACATCAGGCATCCTGCCAGCTTCAGCAGCTACAGCTAGTTGGAGTGTGGCCCGTCTAGAAACAAAGCCAGTATATTTCCAGCAAAATCCATGCAGACAACTAATCTAAGTCATTAACATAAAGCACCATACCCTCTCCATCTCACACGGTACATTCACTGTTACATTGAAGGCAATTAGTACTTTACTGAAAGGATGTAAATATAAGCAATGCCTGCTAGTACAGAAGCACACAATGGAGACACAGGAATTGGACCTTCTAGAAAGAGCCGAAGAAAAGCCCTTTACCTTCTAACATATTTCCCTCTTTCTGAAAAATTCTCTCTTCACACCACTGGCAGTGGATGAGGTATCTTATCTTCCTTGCTGAATCATCCGCAAGAGATGGTCCTCTTAAAACTCTGACCACTACTAGAACAAAATGTTCTAGAGCTACTGCAAGTAGAACTTCAATGCCTTTGTTACAGCGAGCTGCAGCTCTAGGGAGGAAACACAAACACAAAACCACGTTGTACTGAAATCAGCAAACTGAGATTGCCACGTCACCTGAACCTGCTGAAAGATTCTTGAGCTCATCCATGCTCTAGAAAGAGATACTAGTGATCTGAGACAGTGATAAGGAGAAAGTGTTTCTTCAGTACCTAGTTTTGTCTACTTCTTGGTAAGGCTCAGCAAATCTTGGTTTACTTCTTTTTATCATGTCTAGAAATATTGGTCTGCCACCTAAGTCATCTTTCTATCCAAGTACCTTCCTATTGCCAGGGTATTGTAACAAAAAATATAAACTAAATGAAAATCAGAGAAAGCAGAAATGTGGATGGATACACGCGATGGGCGGTCGTCGAATGTTCATTCAATACGGACTGTGGGAAGGCAAGTGAGCACCACCTGAATTGCTAGGCACTGAGAAGGAAGAGGAAATCTTTAGGGGAGTTGGACCATATAACCCAGTGAACAACTGAGTAGCATGTCTGTAACTAAGAATATTCTTGCAGGGAGCAATTTCCCATGCACAGGGAAGTTAAACCTAAACCCATTCATGTTGTATTTCTGCTCTGGCATGCTGAAAATCTCTGCATGCTTTATTTTTTCCCCCGTGTTTCCTGAGCAGTTGTCCCATCCTCTGGCCTTTATGTTTTTTTTCCCCTTTTAGGGGAAAATCTTTCTAGAGATCAGGTTTTATGTCTTGCTTTATTTAACAGACTCAATTTACTGAGAATGTCTATACACAAATGACTAATTAGACAAGACAGTAATCACACGTATCTTTTTAACCTCAAGCATGAGGATCTGAAGTGAACATCAGCTTCCACTGAAGCAAGTCTTACTGCAACGCTTAGTTAGAAGCCATTCAAGCAGCTTAATTAACATTTGCGAAGTCCTACACAGCATTAAAACTACGAAACTGACAGAGGAATGAAGAGTTTGCAGATATGCAAGTCTGGGTATTACTTTTCCTATTGCCAACCCTCTCCACCACCAGAAAACCTCCCCACAATTCCACACCTCTACCCTATCTATGCATTATCACCTTGCCCAGCCTTTTAGTTTAACATTTACATTATCCCAGCACACATAAAATATGAAACAATTTTTGTAATAAGAAGTCTGGCTTTTAGAATTAGGGAATCCTGGAAACTGAACACACACAGCCTACAGCAGCAGTCTTACAGGTTTTATCGCTAATGATTTTCTCGTCAAGTTTTTACCACAATTTGAGCTGACTTAGCAATACCTTGTGACAGCAGCAATTACTATTCTGGCTGCCAGCTCCTTGTAGTACTCTGTTCGGACAATATTACAGCCATAGTGGCGCAGGGCGACGTGCTGAGCCTTTGCATACAGAGAGCTGATGTCTGTGGACGTCAGTGACACAATTCCAAGATTTCTCACATTTCTAAAGGCAGAATCCAGGTAATTCACAGTAGTTCCAAAGGGGTCCAAATGGCTGAAAAGAAAGGAAGTACCACTGAGTAGCTATAAATGCTCAAAAGTTGAGCTTTAAACAGAGAAGAACACTATTATAGAATCTTCACCTATGGTCATATTTAAAACAAAAGGTGGAAACGTGATTAAAATCTACAGCACACCTCTCATGAATTCCTCTGGAATACTGAAGTGTCAAATTGGAAGAACCAGGGAAGCACTCTGCTGGAAAATATCCCCCACTACAAAGCAAGCGAGTGCCATTTTTTTTTTTTTTCATCCTGACCCACTGACCAATTCAAGTCACCATCTGATTCTTACCTTTATCCTTACAAAAACGGGAAACTTCTAATACCAAAAATAGCTTCAAACTGTATGCATTCAAGTTTATGTACTAAATAATTAGCCTCATTTTCAGTCTGAATACCTGCTGCTTAGATTTTGCTGTTAATCAATACCAAAAAAATCCAATCACTTATCTTGATGTCTGTATAGGTTTTGACTGTGTGCATCTACAAACCCAACTGGGAAGAATTAGCCTGCTTTAATTGAAAATGAATATGCTGCAAAATGGATTAAAATGAGATGCAATAAAATCCTACACAATATGCCAAGGTATTAAATTAAAACTAATTAAAAGTTGTTTTTTAAAAAAGATTACTTTGACATTTCTCTTTATCAGACAATTATAAAAAAAAAAAAGTAGTTTAGCTTAAAATTTTCATTACATTTATAGTCCCTTCTGGATGTCAGAAGGCTTTAATATTTTTCCAGCCATTTCTAAAATGCTTAAGATTAAAGTTCTGTTACTAAACTGTTTCAGGGACAACAGAATTACATTTAAAACCAGCAAGTGACTGTTGATTGATTCTTACACTCCAAATTCCTAAATAATCATATACTGGGAAATGAGGTGGGTTGTATCATTATCAGACCAGAAAATTATGAACAGAAACATTCAGCACTTACATAAAATCAAATGATCTCAAATGCATTATAACATTGGCATCCATTTTTGTCACCTCAATGGTATCAGTATTTTCTTCTCCATCTCCCATTGCTTCATCATTGTCTTCGTCCTTAGTGTTCAGCTTCACCTTCATTTTGTTTAAAAGGCAGTTTTCCTGAATCATTGCCACAGAATTCTCATTGCAATCATTAATTGTAACTCTCACAGAACTTCTGAGGTGCTTTGCCCATTGTAATCCCATTATACCTAAGGAAAGATAGAACCAGAACTCCATAACAGAATAAAGAGTTGGCTTCTGGGTTGCTCAACTGTCTAAGACAATCATCTTTTAAAATTCTAAGAGTTTGTGGTGCAAATTTTCTCATGTTCCTGCACAAACGTGTTGGTGACTCTCTGCCTCAGCACAATGACAATGGGGAATGTAAAGGGACAATCTATTTTGCACCTTCTTTTATGACAGTTGGTGCTACAGAAGGACAGACTGGTACTTTTTGCAGCAGGCAGGACCCACAATCTGCAGGAGAGCCCTTTGGCTTGTTTAACACTTGGGTGTAGTGGCCAGGCTCCTGTGACAGACCACCATAAAACACACATGAGAAGAAGTGCTGTGAAGACTTTTAGGCTGCCTCCAAGCGTTTATTGCTGACTTTGGCAGTGAAGTCTCTGATTGTGCTGTAGAAGTGCAGGGCAGGATGCACTTGGGAAGACTGGCCTAGTTCAGAAGGGCGAGAAGTTCACTATCAAGAATTTTTACACAAAATGCTAAGCAGCTACTGCTGCTCTCAGCTGTGACCTTGAGTGTACAGCAGCTGGCTGGTAATGAGGCAGCAATCCAGATCCCTTCAGATGTTTGTTCCAGACGGTTAACAGACACTGATGTAGGTACTTTATATTCAGTTCATGTTCAGAATCTTTGTAATCAATTAACAGATGATGCTGGTTAAAAAAAAAAAATTGGATTCATCACCATTTTTAAACCATGGGTTGATTTTGCAGCCACATTCCACAGCTAAATAGTCATAAGAGACCTGTGATGTTGGACACAACTTCAGGAAGATGCCATTTTGTGGACATTACAGCAACTGAATAAGGAGAACACTAAATTTTGATTTAGTATTATTTATAGTCTTTTTAAAAGGCCTAATACCAGGCTCTTGGTGGCTGGTTTTTTTTTTTTTTGTATGGAAGCTTATGACTGCCTACCTAAGGCAGAAGAAGTTTGCATGCCCCCCATTAGTTTTTGAATACGGGTGTCAGTTACTACTGATTTCTGCAGGTTCAAACTATTGGTTATTAGCCAGAAGATTAAAGAAATTGACTTTACCAGTGGCACCAAAAGCATCCAAACATTCTATCGGTTCACGTTCCTTAGCTAGAACAGCTAGTGCACAGAAGATCAGTTGCCTTGGAAATATAAAAAAGAATGGTCATTGTAAGTAAGCGGAGTAAGTAGTTCTCCTTCCTTCTCACTATTTATTTCCCTTGAACATAATACTACAACATTTAAGCTAAACACAGAAAAATTGCAAATCAAAAACCTCAACTACCCATAAAAGTTTAATTCTACAGCGGGATATTCATAAGGTAAGATCCTGAATCAACTTACTGGTCACTCAAACACCACAGGCCTGTGTGGGCTAACTTCATACCCAGAAGCTCAGATATTAACAGCTCAAGACACGAGTGGATGGCATGGGCTGCAGCACACTCCCATGCTCTGGTGTCAAAACTCATACCTTTCAGCAGTGCTACAGACATCGTTTATGACTCCTTAAAAAAAGACAATGTTTCTTCCTTCATTTTAAAAAATGCAAATAACAAGAAGACACTTGAGAGAATCTGAGTCCCAAAGAGAAAAATGCCTAGAATATGAAAACTGTGAATTCTAGGTACGCTGCTGTTCCTTTAAAGGAGAGCAAGCAGTGACTATCCATGGTATCTTCTGGAGATTCACAGAAAAACATCTTAAGTGTATACAATAAAGTTATTTTTCAAGAGTGCTCCTCCCCAAATCCCATTCTTCTTCATAAACTACTCATTACAGAAATAGGTAATTGCTTCAGAAATGAGAACATTTTCTATGTTGTCTTCCTGGGTTTAAATGTCATTTGTCAAGAAGCGTCTTCTGATGGAAAACTACTTCTCCTGCCCTCTGGATGAAAGTTTTGCAGGGTTTGCTTTTCAAAATGAGTATTTTTCAGTACAAACTCACTGCCCCTCTGGTACATCCCCCCACTCCCTGTTCTCTTCTTACCTGTTGAGTTTCATTTTAGGATTAAAGTAGGAATCTGTTTTCTGAGGTGTGGAGTAGTTGGGAAGAACCTGCACATCTGTGGCTGACTCTTTCACCACTTCAGGAGCATACTTGGGAGCAGGAACTACAAGAAAGCAATTGTAGGGGAAGGAAGGAGTTAGGGAGGATTAAAATTAACATTGGCACATTTGATAAATTAAATTGGAAATTTGCTTCCATGTAACAAGAGGTCTGGGTTATGCTGCAATCCAACTAGCACATGGATTGGTTAAGAGGTATGTGGAGGGGAAAAAAAAAGTAGGCAACAATTTACCTTCTAATCGTAAAACTGGCAGATGAAGATCAAGCTCTGGCAAAATTTTCTTCCCATAAAACATCAGATTTGTTTCTCAGTTAGGCTCCTATGTATCCACTCACATTTAAGAAAGCAAGTCCCCAAGCCTGAGACTTAGCATATTTGGTTTGCACGTTCAAACATAAGACATTGCTAATTAATTAAAGCCTTATTAACATAGTTCCTGAACATGTATCAAAGAACTGCAAAAATACCTTAAAATCCTTGATCTGATCCACGTTATCAAACAGTGCCATGAAATGTGTATAGACAGCACAAACATAGGGACCATTTCAGCACTTTAATATAACATATTAACTAAGAGATGAATCTATTTCACAACACTAACTGCATTTAAGTAAAAGCTATGGAATATGTTATGGATGTGTCACAAAGGAGATTTAGGTCACTAAAAGTATCACTGTCAAAGATATTAGCTAAAGTGATCTTTAATTTCTCAAAGTGCAACAAGGTTCACACTTATCACCCCATGGAAGAACATACAGAGGAAAATTGAGTTAGAATCAGGCTAGACTGATTTACACAGGGACAGGGGATGAAAAGGGTAAGGGAGACCCTCCCCCTCAGTCCCAGGGTCAGGACAGACCCTCTCACTCTCTAAACTCCTCCTCAGAGAAGAGCTTGAGGGGGCCTGGATCCAGACTTGGCCTCAGCCATGTGCAATGGTCCATGTCAGGAAGAATTAGGCAGAGGGGTTTCAGTGGTGTTGGTTCAGGGTGCTGTTCCAGGCCCTGTACAGCTGTGAGGGAGCAGCAATTTGAGATTTATTAACACTGTTACAAGAAATCATCAGATCAGGTTGTTAGGGATTTCTAGCAATACTTAATTGGTCAGTGATCAGCCATTTGTTGGAATCAACAGTGACTAAAAGACTGAACACAGTTTCCCAAATCAGATCTCTCGCTCTCGCACACACACACACACATAGAGGTTAACTGATGATTGCGATGTTTTTCTCTGCAGATTACAGTAAATTTTTGCTACCCATTGATCTCTGAAATCTCACAAGACCTTGTTACAGTGCATTGTTCACTCTTCCCTTTGTCAACATCCATCACTGGATGATCTGAATTATACGAGATCTACCCTGAACCTCACAAAAACCTACCCGAGAGGTGTCCCAGCTGCAGGGAGATGCCAAGACTCATCCCGCTGCCATCCCAGAGAGCTCCAAGGAGCCTCACTTGGGATGGGTATTTACAGGGGCACAAGATGATTGACTTTGGTCAGCACTTTTTCACTGTGACCATCATGTGAGTTAGGCAATCCTGACACCTTTCAGCACGGGCCAGGATCCAGGCAGGAGGATTTTCAGTACATTTCCCAGGCAATCAGGAGTTTCAGGCATGGTTTGGGAGTGTCTCATTGTCCAGCTCCCTGTACTTGTACTTGAGTTGATTATCTCAACTCAGCTGCTCTGGTGGGCGAGACCAGAAAATGCCAGACTGTCCTAGCTCAGTGCCCTTGCCATTAAGCCAGAACATGGTGTTGGCTGGGGCTGAATGGCAACACTGCCCAGGGTAGAGGGGCAGCACCATCCCTGGATGGTACTGCTAGTACCAGAGTACTTCAAGGGGGCCTATCAGAAAGATGGGGACAGACTGTTTAGCAGAACCAGTTGTGACAGGACAAGGGGTGATGGCTTTAAATGAAAAGAGGGGAGATTTAGACTGGATATAAGAAGAAATTTTTCACAGTGAGGGTGAGGAAATGCTGTCCCAGACTGCCCAGAGAGGTGGTAGATGCCCCATCCCTAGAAACTGCCTCAAGATGAGGTTGGATGGGGTGCTGAGCATCCTGCTCTAGTTGCAGATGTCCCTGCTCAATGCAGGCAGGTTGGACTAGATGACCTTGAAAAGTCCCTTCCAACCCAAACCAATCCGTGATCTTCTGATTCTGTACTATTGCTTCTCAGACATACAAACTGATGCCCAGACACTAAACCTCTCTTCCCAAATTGCATATTGGTAACAGAAATAATTGTCATCCTCAGATTTCCCAGGATTGTCTTTACCATATTGTATCTCAATTAAATCCATATGTCTACACAGAGACAAAGAAATCAGACTAATTTTTCAACAGTAACAGCATGGGCTGTAGCAAAACTCCTCAATTTTTACACAGCAGCTGATCAGTTATGTTCTTTTTACTTAGCTGTACACAGCTTGCAAAAGCAAACAAAACAAAAGCAACGTTTATGATTTGGCATTCCATTTAAAATGTTTTCCATCTAGTTTATCCAAGTTTAGAAACACAAGCTGAATTCTACAGAAAGTCAGGTAGGGTTGTAATTTACCACTACTGACACCTTGTGGGAAAACTGCCCAGCCTGGCCTCTAACAGGAATGCTGGCCAGTTCATCACTTGTGTTGTACCACCCTTGGACAGGAACGCAGGAGGCTAATTCATGTGCTCATCATTTACCTGACAGTGAGTAGGGGTGGGAGGATTAACATTTTGCTCAGACAAAGCCCAGGTGTTGGAAGTTTTGCAACCTGGCAATTTGGAAGCTTCACGATCCGTCCCAATCACTGGGACTGCTGGGACTGCGGGGAAGTCTCATAGCCAGAGGCTGTACCAAGAGAACTACAGTAGAAGCTGGTAGCAAGGTCTGACTTTCCTTGCCTCATCCCTTAATTAATATCACCATTAGTCTGCTAGGAGCCAATCAGCACATGAGACATTAACCTGTCCTGCCCCATCAATAGGTATAAAATCAGTCTTTAGACTCCTCTATTTCTGAAGAACCAAATTCCAGCTGTTCAGATAACAGGTCAACAGGCCTGGACCACTCTCCTCCTCAAGCAGGGACTCCTCTCTGGTAAAATTTGCACCTCTGACTTGGTCAGATGTTACCCAGGAATTACTAACTCCAGTTTGATTTTTGCAGGAAGTGTTATTTATCAATGGCAATTCTGAACTGTTTACATTTGTCATCTTAACAAATTACCAATTTTTGCAACTTTGCGAATCTGTGTCCCTGGAAGTCCTTGGCAGGGCACTGAAACAGGCAAATCTTGACTTTAATAGGTAGCTACACACAGAATGCTTTGAAGATAAATAATCAACCAAGTCTGAGACTAGGACTGGATCCCGCTGCACCCATGCTCCCCTTTTAGAAGGAGCCTAAAAAGCAAGGGGGTCCTTTCTGAACCTTGTGCCCCAGCAGGAGGGCCTTCCCCAGCCACAGAGCCCCCTACACAACACACCCCTGTCAGGACTCTCTGGGACCAAGAGAACACAGCCTTGTTTTGTGAACCCATGCCCATACAATTTGGATAGAAAGCAAAGAATTTTTTACTGCTGAAAGATTTACTCTAGACTGTTCTACGAAGAAGGGCAATGAAATAGAGGCATGACAAGCTCTGTACAGGTTTTGCTTTACGGATGCCGTGTCCCCCACTCTTTGGGGGAACACAGAAGCCTGTATTTAAAACATCAAGCTAATTGTGAAGGGAGTATTATTTATCTTCAAGAACTGAGTAACTAGTCAACACAGAAACTAAATCACAACTATCTTTTGGGAAAAAAAAAAATGTTCTGAAATATTAAGGGCAGATTTCTCATTAGAAAAGCTAAATATGTTTTAGAATTTTTCTTATGTCTCTCACTCAGGTACCATGGTTATTGCATATGCCAGGCAGTACACAAAGACTGAATGTCTGAGGCTCTGGCCCCACCTGTGATGAACCTGGACTCCGTTTCTCCCTTGTTCACGTGCCGGTTGATGTGACCGATCATGTCAGTCCTCCGCGTGATAGTCGCCGAGCAGATGATGCAGTGGTAATGGGCCCCCAGCTTTGACCAAGTCTGGGAAGTACAATATGGGTCGTTTCAGAATACACAGAGGTTAAAGTAGAACTATACCTGCACAGAGGTGTGTGAAGAAGCCACCCGTCTTTTGCTCCCTCCAGCACACACAAAACATTCTGAGTCGACTGAGAGTGTAACTAATGACACGGGCAGAGCCCTCCTGCTGCAGCCAGCTCAGCCCCACCAGCACTCCAGAGGCTCAGCACTCAGGGAAGAACTGGCCCGAGGAACCCTTAGTCTCTTTCACACAGAGCTGCTCTTTACTCCAAACTGCCAGTGTTTTACATGATCTAGGCAGCTACTCGCCAAAATAAGAGATACAACTACATTCAACTACCCTAGGCTTACATAAGTACTTATATTCTGGCCTGATGAGCTTTTGGTTATCACTGGATAGCAAGACCTATCTTGTGGCAATTCCCTGACTTGCAGGATAACAAGTATTGCTGTGCTTCAGCATTCTTACCTGGTCTCCGATGAGGTTGGGTTTTACTGGGTGACAGGGTAAGTAGCAGATACACATTCGGTACCCTGGAAAACAAATCCTCATCACATCACAGCACAGTGAATAAACAATACAGGTGTTCTATACCTTATGGCCTCATTTCAAATTCTAAATACTGCCACAAGACAGCAATAAGAGAACATCACTAGTTATTTGGTACATTCACCCTCTGCACAGGTAAATTTAGCAGCTAATTATACATTTTAAATTTTAAAATGCACAATAATTAGACACAGGCAATTCATTTTAGCAAGTCTGTTAGCATCCTACAAAGCTACATCGAGTCTTCAGCCTATAAGGTATATAGCTTTCAAAAGTACTTGTATTTTACAAAAGAATTGTCACCTGGCTGAAGCACTTGTGTGAAGAGTCCTACAAAATCTATGTTCCACAGTTTAAAGAAAGAACAACAAAGACACCAGCTAATGCATGCAAAACCAGAACTCCAGTCAGCTCACTTCAATCTTGACCATCTTCTAATTGGTCATTTTATTTAAAAAAAAACCCCACACCCCAAAAAAAACAAACAAAAAACCAACCAACCAAAAAAAACCAACATGTAAAGCTCGCTTTCTTTCCCTTCTTAAATTTCTTGTAGGGATTTTAATGCATCTTATCAGCAGATCACAGAGTTTGTTAAAAAATAGGTGAGGCTACTAAACAGATACTAAGTAAATACTTTAGTATTTATCTGCAATCATGAAATCTTCATGAGTCAAAACCAACTGTGTGTGTGTCTCATTATTAAAAATATAGCCAAAACTTTATAATTTTCAATATACACCTATTTTAAATTGTATAGCAATTTTCATGACAAGCACTTGTTTTTTTCAAATGAGAAAATGCACAGTGGTAACTATTTTGGCATGTACAATACAGAGCTGATCTCAGAAGGACAGAGTTAAAAACTTTAGGCTGAATAAGCACATAATGAACTGGTGTGAAGCCAGGGTAACAAGACTGGAAGGGCCCTAAGATTAAAGGACAGAATGATTTTGAAGGCTGAAATAACCAGAAACAAGACACCAGAATTAAGAGCAGTATCTAAAGACAGTAAAATTCTGCCTACCTTTGTAGACAATGCCTCATTCTGGCTTCTTTACACAAACCAGAAACAGATTTGGACAAAGATTAAAACTCAATATGCCCCAAACATAACCTGTGGCTATTTTAATACTAAAAAACACACCTCTAGCAGAATTTAAATGCAAATGTAGGACCATCTTAGTATAATGCATTGGGTAATACTACCATGAACTAGGTAATGGATGGAGCATTTGTACAAAAATTGATGTGATGTAAAATCATGTAACCGGTCACATATGATTTCTTTGTTATTTATACTGTACATGAACCTCTGCTGTTCAAGCACACAGGGGCTGGATTTCAGATTTATGGCCAGTGCCCATTTCTGCAGAACTGAAACAAAGCAAATACCTCAATTCTGCATCAACTGTCATTGCACACTGGGGAAAGGACCCTTTTGTGGGGGGCTACAGAGCTATTTTACATTTACATTTTACATACCAGGTCAAAATTCATTATGTCAAAATATGGTTCTAATTCAGAGCTGATGACAAGATGCTGAAGTCAAAAGGAACTGAAAAACATGAAACATGGAACGATGTTCTACACATCCACAATTTATTCGACCATTTACTATTCAAATACTGATTGCCATTACCTTCAAATTCAACAGAAACTTTCCAGTGAAAATTCAGAAGGTGTCGATGGAGTTTATGACCATAGCAAGCTTTGTATTTTTCTTCAGAACACAATGGACAAGGCTTCTTTTCATCTGAAAACACAAATAAACAAGTATGAGAAACATGAAATGTAGTTATGATGCATGCTAAGAGAAAAAAGAATGATGACACTATCCATGGGAGTTAAAGACCAGTTCCCCTGGGTATGTTCTATTGCGTGTGTATACAAATTTCAGATTTATGGATTGCCTCTTTCTACTCTACAGAATATAGACAAAACACTATTAGTTTCAAGACCATTAACTTCTACAAGCTTTAGGCTTTGTTTTCTAGTATTTTTAACTCCAATAACATGAGGCTAATGCAACTTCTGAAGAATACTGCCAGAATTCTACAGATAAAGTCTAGAGACTTGCAATGTTTCAAAGAAACTCCACGTGAAGAGGTTAGAACTAGTATCTTTCTTTCCACTGTCTGAATCTTTTCTTTTTAAGCTGCCAAAAAAGTAACACACAATATGCTAAAATTATTTTTCTTCTTGGAAATCTGGCCAAGGGACAAAAAAGCAAAGGCAAGATTCTCTGGCATCAAGGGTCTTGAAGCACTTGAAGCACCAACCTAAATATTACTAAGCTATTGGGAGACCTATGCTGTGGAACTGTACATAGAATTATGTATCAGAGCATGCACACATCTGCTGCTGGGTCTTAAGGCTGAAGAATGTTAACCAACCTCTCATGCAGAATTTAGCAGAAAAGCTTCTATGTGTTAGAATACTACGGGATTAATACTGAAACATGCCACACAACATGGGCATCTATAATAATAATTAACTTATCTTAGGCTTGTACAGCAGTAAAACTCCTTTTTTGTGACTTTTTTATGAGTGGATTACTGCATCCACGCAGAGTCCCATGCCACTGGAGCCAAGAGAGGCAGCCTAGGGCTCACCAAATAAATCACCAGCGCTCTCTAATGTTGATCAGGCTTTCTATTAACTGCTGATTTACTGAGCATCAGACACACGAGGTGATGGGAACAAAGACAAGTCAGTCCGTTAACGCACATGGCAGAAGAATGCTACATCCATGGCAGAAGAAAAAAAAACACTACTGAGAATAGGCAAGGGAAGAATGAGTTCTTGTCACTACTATGGATTTACATGTTAACTTTGCTCAACAAATGCTACAAGTACCAGACTTAAGAGATACTTGTTATCTACCTCGCTAAACACAGAATGAACTCTCTATAGATGTTTTTGGCATAATAAACATTAAACAGACACAAAGGTAGGCTATGATTTGCATCAGTTGCCACTCTAGAAGATGATTAAGGCACAAAAGCCCTACGATGCAGAGCCTATGTGGACTCTGATGTTTGATCTGTGAATAGAAACTAGTTTTTTGTTGTAAGGGCTGTCACTACTTGCACTAAACACATACACATAATCAAAGATAAAAGATACTGTAATAAAAACACTTTGCAGACCTAAAGCAGTCCTCCAATATACATCTGGATTAGAAATGAGTACAGAGTGGGAAGAAAAAAAACCATCCAAACCAGAAGACATATTTATTTAAACATTGCAAAGACAACAATCAGTTTCCCCATTACCACAGCTCTTGAAGTAAAATAAAAATGAGACTATGCTGCTGGATAGCTAGAATTAACATTTCTCTGATCTGTGCACATTGCCAACATTAGAAATGCTACAATGCAGAGGAAAAAGGTGGAAAGGAATCTTTAAGGCCTTGTATTTACTGAAGGAAGTACAACATTCAATAAGTAGGGGAAGAAATCATAAAGCTACATTTTATTAAACGTCTCTTCAAGCATTATAGATATATGTAGTGTGCTAAAAAGAAAAAATAAGAAAAAATGTAAATACCTGTAACATGAAGATCTGTGTTCTGGGACACTGCCATGGTAAACTCACCTTCTTTTAGGTTAGCTAGTTTCTCTAGCCCAGCAAAATCTCTTTGAATTGAAATATGTTTCTCTAAAGAGCAGAGACATTTGTAAGTTAAACATTCTTAGTGAAAAAAAAAAAAAAAATTACTACTGTTTTTCTATGCATCATTTAAAATGTAACACTATTAGAGAGAATGACTATAGTACCAATTGAAACACTTGTTTGTATCCTTTAACTTCCATGGAAGAGCAAATGACTGTAAAATTATTCCCCAGAGAGATTCTTTAATAAGACCCATGTATTTGCATTTGCTTTTTAATAATGACACACAGCGAATTTCTCTTTTTGAAAAAAACAAGCTAAAAAGAACAGTTCACATTCCATTTAATCCTGATTTCACTGCTCTGCATCATTAAGTGAATGCAAATCATGCACAGAGCAGTATAAAAACATCCTATGAACTGTCTAGCAAAATTAAAATACCAGCTGCAAGTAGACCAACTGTAAATAACAACTATTCACTGTATAGCCAGGGCACATTGAACTCCACCATTTTTTTTCTTCCTCTTAGGAGACTGTAATCTCCAAATTCACCTTCTGATTTTTCAACTTATCAGTCAATGGGAAGAGTGGAGCATTTGCTAAGCCCAAGAGAGACAGCTTATCCAATAAATCGGCTTTATAGGTTTCAGCACATAGAACATCTCACTTTACAGTCACCCTGATTCTGTAGCAATTTTAAACCTTTATGATGATTTAACAAGCTCAGTCTTCAGGTTTTCTGATGTGAAGCAAGACAGCAATTGATCAACAGGCTCAAGATACAGAGGTGAGTTTTAAAGCTAGGGTTCAAAGTTTTTAAGCTTTTAATTTCTGCACTTAGGTCCACTAGATTTCGTCTTTTCGCTTTCAGCACCTGAGCCTGATGTAGATCATACCTCATCTACCCTTGACTTCTCTCACTGTGAATGTGCGAATTTCCACAGGGATTTCTAGAAATGTTAGTAAGGGGAAAATGGCACCTCATTTGAAAGAGATGTCCAACACCTTACGAAAACACTTTATACAGATGCATGGGAAAAAGTATCCCTACCTATCAGATCTACGGAAAACAAGATTTCACACACTCCCTTCACTTTTCTTCTCTGCTATTTCTACGTTTTCTCCTCCCCTCCTCCTCAGTCACACAACACAAATATTCTTAGAGTTTGTAAGCAAACCTCTTGGACAATCAGACGATACATCCAAAATGCTGCTGTCGGATTCCTTTGTGGGTTCTTTCTCTGCTCCTTTTTCTTCGGTTTCCAATTCAGACTCAGCAACTTTCACATCCAAGTTGTTGCTTTTCACTTGTTCAGAGACAACCACACCATCTTAACCAAATAAAACAAAAAAAACCACCATGTGTGTTTTTGATATAATTGAATTATACAGAAATGTTCATTTGTTTCAAATAATCTGCTGATTCTAAGGAGCAAAAATTACTACAGACAATTGTGAATCTATCTCACCAGATGTTGAAAGTTAACAAAACAACATTTACATGTTATTTTCTGGCAAAAAAAAAAACAAACGAGTGCTGGCAAGACAAAGCAGGCAAGGTGAAAGTCCAATTAGCAATAGTCCAGGTAACAATATATTAGTGGCTAAGACAATGTGAAAACAGCTCACAACTAGTTAAATAATCTGAAAAAGGAGGGGAGCAAGGAAGGAACTTGCTGTCAGGGCCCTGATGAGCACGAAGTCCTGGTGCCATCAGTACTTACAAATGAATGACTGCTCAAGGGTCAGGCAGAGATGGGTCTGCTGAAGAATTTCAGAAGGACTTAAGGGGCTGAGTGAAAGCACAATACAATGACAAAAAGTAATCCAAATGGTGGAGTTGGAGAAAAAAAGTTAATTTTCCTTTCACTTTGTGGTGATGCAGCCCCCAGGCAATGTTGCAATTCAGCCCCAGCCAACACCATGTTCTGGCTTAATGGCAAGGGCACTGAGCTAGGACAGTCTGGCATTTTCTGGTCTCGCCCACCAGAGCAGCTGAGTTGAGATAATCAACTCAAGTACAAGTACAGGGAGCTGGACAATGAGACACTCCCAAACCACGCCTGAAACTCCTGATTGCCTGGGAAATGTACTGAAAATCCTCCTGCCTGGATCCTGACCCGTGCTGAAAGGTGTCAGGATTGCCTAACTCACATGATGGTCACAGTGAAAAAGTGCTGACCAAAGTCAATCATCTTGTGCCCCTGTAAATACCCATCCCAAGTGAGGCTCCTTGGAGGTCTGGGGGGATGAGTCTTGGCAACTCCCTGGAGCTGGGACACCTCTCAGGCCAGACTCTGCCCCTCCACTGGTAAAGCCAGTGAAAGGCAGACAGGAGTAATGCACTGTAATTGGAATTCGTAAAATACAAAAAATCATTGGGTAGGCAAATTACTATACCTGCAGAGGAAGAAACATCTCAATCACCAGTTAACCTCTATGTGTGTGTGAGAGATTTGATTTGGGAAACTGTGTTCAGTCTTTTAGTCACTCTGTTGATTCCAACAAATGGCTGATCACTGACCAATTAAGTATTGCTAGAAATTCCTAACAACCTGCCCATGGCTGAGGCCAAGTCTGGATCCAGGCCTCCCCAGGCTCCTCTCTGAGGAGGAGTTTAGAGAGTGAGTGGGTCTGTCCTGACCTTGGGACTGAGGGGAGGTTCTCCTTTACTCTTTTCATCCCCTGTCCCTGTGCAATTCATTCTAGCCTGATTCTAACTCAATATTCCTTTGTATGTTCTTCCACAAGGCAAGCAAAGGGGTGAACCTTGCTGTCGAACTCAGTTAAGTCATACTTTTACAAATGGATACTAAAAATCACTTTTGCTAATTATCTGTGACAGTGATTCTTTAAGTGACCTAAATCTCTCCTCTCTGACACCATGTACTCCTGTCTGGTACTGAAGACAGATAAAGGGCTGGATTATACAGCAGTTCTTACAATTCCCCTGGGGTTTTTAATGTTTGCTTTTAAGCATTGCAGCTGGATACAAATCTTTGCTATTATTAAAAAACAAAACAAACAAAAACAGAAAGAGGAAATGGAATACTTCAACAAGACAGAGGTTAGGGAAATTGTTTAGAAAGACAGAAGCACAGAGTAAACTTATTCTCTTTACCTTAAAATAACATTGATCGAGACCAGTATTGCTAGTTGTTGCTGTATTTCTCACAGAACTATTTTTTTAAGCTGTCAAATCACCCAAGGTAGACTTTTAGCTTTGCACTACTTCTCAATTAAAAAGATGAAAGGTGCCTGGTGATAGTTTCTACACGCTTTATTAATAGGAAGACAGAAAGCAAATTAAGGAAATTGATTCTTTTAATAAGAAATCCATATGAAGAACAATGACTGATTATGACTACACGTGCTCTGAGAAAAAATAATAAAATTTCTACAAAAACTGATAGTGAAGAGCACAGCAGTCACCAGAGTCGGACTGTCTGCATCTTTAGAGCAAGTGTATAGAATAAAATGGTTGAAAAAGATATTAAGCAGACATGTACATTTAGTATGGATATCCATCTACATGAAAAGTAAACTTTCACACTAAAAAAAAAAATAAGTAGTAGGCTAAGAAAATAGGCTGCTCCAGAAGCAAGCTTGCAGGTTATTTTGAGAATTGCCATCAGGAATCGCTGAACATGCACAACCGTGATGCTTCAAATAGCCTAAATAATACTTAGGATTTGTCTTTTTTTAATTAGAAGAATAGGTTCGCTGCACCTGTAAGACTGCAGTAGCAAACGACGGGCATCAGTGCCACATTTGGCGCGTTTGGAAAACCGGCACAACGAGTTTAAACATACTTGAAAACACTGGGGAGCAAACGCATGTGGCCGGGCAGCACGGCCCCCAGCCCAGCGCCGGCAGGCCCCGCTGGGCATCGGGACCCTCGGGACCGCGCTCGGAAGTATTAAAAGAGTCTCATCAAGAACAAAAAAACTCGTGTTACATTAAAGGGGGGA